GGACCGGCCAGCTTCCCATCTCCGCATTTCAAGGGCAGCCGGTCGGCAGCCTCACAAAGCCACCGCGATGAGTCTGGCGGGATCCAAATCTCTAGCGCTCCCTCCATGAACTCCAGAGGCTCAGAGCTCAGACCATCTTGGCTTAGCGACAAAGCTGTGGGCATGGTCTCTTCGGATAGCTGCACGGCCCAAAAGCGGCACTGCTCCCACAGGAAGCCAGTCTTGCAGCTCAACAAGACCTCCGTTCCGTTTGCCTCGGATCTGGCTCGAAGCTGGTATGGCCCTGCCTCGTAGTGCATGTCGCCCACTGGGTCAAAGGCGGTCTCCAGCTCCATATCATGCCGAATCATCTGCCCAGCGCTGACTTCTCCAAGGAACGACAGCCGCGTCGCTCCCCGGCAGTCGGCCAAGGCGACAGCAATGTCGGAAAATTGATCCACGGAACTGAAGCAGCGGAAGTAACCCTGGAGCTCCATTCGCTGGCTGCTGTCCTTGGCCGGCACCAGGTGCACCTCAGGCATCGCAGCAGGGAGAAAAGCTCAGTGGTTGAACCTTTACACGACAAGCATTACCACATTGGTGGCAAGCAGTCTTACGAGTACCAGTTCGTGCTTGACCCTTGTAATTTAACACGCACACTTCTGGGAGCTCGAAACACGTGCCCGTTCCAGCTGCAGAAGATGCTTCTGTTGTTGCTTCGTCGTCGTCGTAATCGTCGTCTTGGTATTCTTGCTTGTCTTCTTCTGATTATTCCAACCACTATTACGGTTGTTTCTCGTTCTTCTTCTTTTCTCGTCGTCTTCTTGATACTGACCACCGTGGCCCTCCTGATGATTATCTGTCCCGTGTTTCTGCCAAGGGTACTTACTCTACATCTTATTTTCAGCCCTTCAGGAACTCTTCGGCATTGCACCTGATGCCTTGGGATACCTCGGGAGCATGAGGCTCTGCAAGCCGTTGCAAGCCATTGGGGAGCTGATCGCTTCAATGTCGCATTTCTCAGTGTCTCAATGCCATCTTTCAGTTTGGGATTCGTTCTTTTCTCGCTTTCTGCTGTTGGCTCGGATCTGCATCACTATCCACTCTTGAAGAAAAGCTTGGTCCGCCTCGCGCAGCGTGGCCATCAGCTCCTGATCTGTCGAGCTTGCCCCACTCAATGACTGTGAACTGATCCCAACTTCCTGGCGCTGGCACGCCAACCTCACAGAGGACAAGAGGACAATCCACTCTGCACGGTCGAGTTGGTACATTCCTACCTCGAAGCCACTATTCAGACATTCAAAACGTGCTGTAAAGATCAAGCTGCAGTTTGCAATCGGTGGAACAGCCTTGCAACATTCCACCATCATCACACTCCTCCATTCCTTCGAAGAGGAGCCCGTCTCCGCAGAGAGGTGTGCAGCTGGTGTTGGCTTTGCATTTGTAACCAGGAGCTACTGCGCGGCACGACAAGCATCCATCAGAAGCAAATGGTCCTTCATCGCAAACCTCTCCAAATTCGATTTCACCATTGCCACAGATGGCAATGAGTACTTTTGCATCCCGTGCCTCGACCTCCCATTCTGCAAAAATGTCTTCCTGAAGACCACTTCCAGGTGTGTAGGAGTCCAGCGGCACCATCGAAAAGTCGACAGGGGAGCTGCAGCGCAGGTTGCCCGCCGCAAGAGCGGCAGGGACGCTGCAGAAGCGGAAGGCACTCTCGAAGCCTGCTGGTCCAGGGGCCCGAAAGGCAGAGTACCCTTGAGGACTCTGCCTTGCAGAGCCGGAGGATTCCTCTGAGACAGCTGCATTGGGAACACACAAGTACACTGCTTGCTCGAAGCCTTGTGGCAACTGGCGGGGCCAGGTGTCCGGATCCGCCAAATCAAAACTCCAGGAGAACAAGCCTTGCAACAGCAGCAAAATGCTGGGCTGGCGCACGACCAGGAGCGCCTCAAGGGATGCGTTTGCTGAGCTAGCGCGCGTCCCCCACACAACCAACTCATCTGTGGCGTCCTCTGCATACTTCGTGAAGATCGCCGTGCCACATGCCGGAGGAGGTGGACAAATCTGAGGCAAATGCGAGTTCAAGATCTCCATGTGGGCTCGCTGCAGCATGTTGACACCCCCTTCTGCTGGGGTCACCAACCTCTCGCGCAAGAACAAGATCTCTCGGAGCAAGTCTTCGTACGCACGCTCTATCAGGCTTCTCTCTGAAGATGCGATGGTCATCCCCAGAGCTTCGGACTGCTGAAGAATCTCCATGACTTCATGCCAAAAAGCCGTGGCCTTGGCTTGTCAGGAGAATGCCATGACAAACCAACATGGACACCAAAAGGCCAAGCTGACAAAAGCCGATGATGGAGGACATACGGATAGATGGAGGCGATGTCAGTTCAGTAGACTTCACTGAAGATAGGAAGCACGCAAACAAACAGGTGGGCACACTACCGTGATTTACGTATACAGGACGAATAAATCACTCCATTGGGCACGTTTCCTGGCGAATCAAGTTTGTTGGGGCATGCAGGCTCTGTGGGACGTGGAGCATGCAAGGAACCGCCCTGGAATCACAGAGGAGCCACAAAGAAGGCCCAAGCAGCTCCAGTTGTTGGGAATCCTACTTCTGACCACAGAAAAACAGATCCGTGAGCCAAGTCGCACGCTGTGCCAAAGCCAGCGGCTGAGCTTTCAGCTGCTCCTTGGCATATTCCGGTGACTTGTTCAGTTCGGTGACAGTAGACAGTACAATTGTACATCCCTCCTTGCTTTGCTCAAGCTCTTATAAGGAGTGCTTGGACATGGCAGGATCACCACCTTCGCTCCCAAAAGTGCTCAAAAAAGCGATGATGCACCAAGCCGTTCTCTCTGAAATCGGGCCCGACTACGCACCCTAAACCCGAAACCCCTCGAACAAACTCTTCAATGCTTCTGAGCTGCGAGCAAGAGCCGGCGGATCGCCAAGGCTCCGTGACGGCCAAGGTATGCCTGGCATGAGTCTGCAGCCACCGGAAGCCTCGGCGCCCACGGGCGGTCACGGGTTGGGAATCGTTTCCGGACGTTATTCGTGCTTTTTCGTTGGTCTGAGAAGAGTTCGATTGAC